CCCCCCCCCCCCCGCTGTCTTGTACACCTACGGATAGTATATTCCCCTCCAATTGCATAATATACACTGTCCTATACAGTAAAAGATGATATTATTATTTTTTAGTGTGTAACTTTGTCAGTCATGAGAAATGTCTGTTCTACATTACAACAGCGTGCCACTTTCTTGCCAGCACTCTCATCAAGGTCAGTAAACCCACTGAATGTCAAGAAACATTACACGGCAGAAAATGAAAAATTTGCATTTCAATGTTTTAGGATCCTGTCGGCCACCAGTGGTCTCCTTCAAGTTCTTTGAGACGAAAATTTTGTAATGTTTGTCGAAAATTATTGAATGACTCGTCTGACTACAGTTGTGAAGGTAAGTTAGCTCTGTGTGCTGAAAAACAATAGAACTAACCTCCTCTCAAATAACCCTCTCACCTAATACAATAAGCCCTCTCTCCAATAACCCCTCTCTCCAATAATCCCTCTCCAATAACCCCCTCTCCAATAATCCCTCTCCAACAAGCTCCCTTTCGAATAAACTCCCCTCTCCAATAACCCCCTCTCCAATAACCCCTCTCCAACAAGCTCCCTTTCGAATAAACTCCCCTCTCCAATAAACCCCTCTCCAATAACCCCTCTCCAACAAGCTCCCTTTCGAATAAATTCCCCTCTCCAATAACCCCTCTCCAACAAGCTCCCTTTCGAATAAACTCCCCTCTCCAATAACCCCTCTCCAACAAGCTGCATTTCCAATAAATTCCCCTCTCCAATAAGCTTCCACCTCCACCAACCCCCTTTCCAATATGCGCCCTCACTGTGGACGTAATAGTGCATGTGATTTCTTCCTTGAATGAATCTCTAACTTGACGATGTTCTTCACATAGTGTGTGAATATTATGTTCATAAGAGCTGCAAGGACTCTGCCATCAACAGTTGCAAAAGAAGTGCAACTTACAATCTCAAGCAAAAGAAGGTAATTATTTTGAGATGCTTTGAAATGACCATAATGAACAATTTCTAGTGGAATAACTTCTCATACAAACCTTTATGATTAGCATTTCTATAGCCCAAATTTGCATGTGGGTATGCCGATCAAATGCGCTTTACATCAAGTATTACGCTTACCGAATTACATATTTTGCCCAGACTATTTTATCTTTACAACAATTGTGATATTACTTTCTTAACTGTGTTTATCCTAACCCACCCTGTCAACTTTCCCTGTTGGAGGAAACCGGAGCACCCGGCGAAAACCCACAACTTTCGACAGGGCGTTGACAGACTCTTTTCACATGAGTCCTGAGTCTGTAGCGATCGAGAATCAAACAACACAATCTGAGAAGTTGGAGGCGCTTGCTCAGATGAACCCCCAACCTGCAGTTTAACAAGAAATGTGAATTTCTGGATATTTCAGGGTGAAAATGAACATCATTGGCAGGAGGGAAATCTCCCCTCAGGATCAAAATGTTTTCTGTGTAAAAAGTCGTGTAGCACGTCTGAGTGTTTGGCCAGCGTCAAGTGCAAGTGGTGTCCAACTACAGTAAGTAAACACACACATAATTTTCAATTTCAATCCTCTCATGGAGTATTTGTTGTTAATGTTGAACCAAAGTGACATAAAGATTATTACTGTATTATTCCAGGCTCATTCAGGATGTTATGGTCACGTAACGAAGCAATGTGATTATGGTGACTTCAACCACCTCATGTTACCACCCTCTGCAGTATCTCTTCCCAACCTTGCTCTCTGGAGGAGAATGTCCAATGAAGTTCAAAAAAATTGTAAGTAGCACTGTCCTTGCATGTACACTACTGTCCCTCGTGCCAATCTAGCAGTTGTGGTTTATGCAAGCTGAAAAGATTAAATCTTGAGCTGTGTTTGCCAGTGTAGGTAGTGGCAATAAAATGAAGAAGCTTTCGTTGATAAGAATGCAACTTATATATTTTCATGTAGTTGCATTGCTACCAACGGAAGCTTGTTCATGAAAAGATTAAAGGCCTGATTTCCCGCTTCAATCCTCTCGTAGTGTAACATTTTCTTTTGTGTCCAAGTCATCAGTTGCACTCTAAGAAATACGCTAAGCTTCGCTACGATATGGTTGTAGTGGAAAACAGGTGAAGATTCTTTGACACGAAGTTGTATGTTGAAGTAGAGTGACTTTGTTCAAAGATAACTCATGGCATCTCACTACAAATTTTGTTCATTGTTTTCTAGTTGAAAACATGCATCTGGAAAGCTCTGATGAAGTTTTACTCAGTGAACATATTGATTCAGAAGATGAGTTTTTGGTTGATTCACCAGGTGATTCAGGTAAGCTTGTTTAATAATGCTTTTGGGAAAAGGAAATTGAAACTTTCTAACATTAATAAACTATTCTCTGTAGTTCACAGTTCTGACGCGACAAACTCGATCAAAGTTTACGATGGAAAACTTGACAACCCACGGTTGTACAAAGTCGTTCATGCGTCAAGGACGACTAAAGCCTCGCAAGTCTTGGTAAGAATATTGCGGCAACCACTCATTATTTTAGTTCAATACAAAACAATAGTAACTCTAAGAACGGTAAACATTTTGAAAAGTGTTTATTCGATATTTCTGCTGGATTTTAGTCATTAGGAATGCTAGTCAAAACGTAGAATGAACACGTTTCGAAATGTTGACCGTTTCGAAGCTATAGTATCATTGTTTTGCATTTAACTTGGTGAGAGTTGTCTTGTTGTATCAAGGTTTCTATTCCAGGTTTCCAGTCCAGGTCTTCATTTCGTCGCATGAATTGTGACAGACAAAGAACCTTTGCTTGAAACGTTGAAGTGTTTTCAATGAGGAAGTTCGCATACAACTCCCTACACTTGAAAAATACAAAAAGAACTTTGACGTACATCTGGCCCTTCGTGTGGAAAGTATGCCTTCGCTCGAAACATCGAAGTTCCTTTTCTATTTTTCTTGTAGTTCCATTACATACAGAGCTTGTATTCTCTGTTCTTATAATCTTCCATTGTCTGCGTCAGTGTAGGAGTGTTAATAACAATAAATAGGGAGTGTTAATAACAGTGTTAATAACAGCACTTTCAAAAAGCAAATTAAACTAGAGGGCACTCAGAGACTGCATACCTCCGCCCCCATTGAATTTCGCTCGTATGAAATGCAACTAAGGCAATAGATAATGAAGGCTGAAGCTCAATGAGGTTTATCTCATTATTGTCTTAGTACTGCGTGCATACATTATACACGTCCTAATTACGCATTCAGTGAGTTTTTTTTAATTGACCGGGAAAAGCAAGACAAAATTTTGTTCATTTCTCGTTCAATTTTTAACCAAATTCGACCAAATTTTAATCAGTTCTTCCTTAGCCGATGGGAAATGCATTCAAAAATTTCGTATGAATATGTTTGGTATTTCTTGAGTTGTCGTGCTCACAGACATACGCACACACACACACACACATATACAAGCCCAGATGATTACATAACCTCCTGGCGGAGGTAACAATATTTTTTACTATACAATGTATAAGACATGCCATAAAACATTCTGCTATATGACAAAATTAATAGTATATTGTAGTCTAATTCTTATAAGAACCCAAATACATCTACAATATTGGTATTCACTTCTATAATAAGAACAATTTCTCTTCTCTTTCTCTCTTGTAAATATTCACTTCTATAATAAGAACAATTTCTCTTCTCTTTCTCTCTTGTAAATATTCACTTCTATATAATAAGAACAATTTCTCTTCTTTTTTTCTCTTGTAAATATGTATATATATTCCTTTAATATTGTGATTGACTGTAAATAATTTATTACATACAAGAGTGGGTAGTAGCGAAGTAGTTGTAGTTCGCTACTGTAGCGAACTACAATTTTCAAGTAGCCAGTAGTTTTTGACTACATTTTTAAAACAGTAGCTGTAGTTATAGCGAACTACATTTTGCCTAAAAGTAGCCAAGTAGTTGACTACTTTTCAAAGAGCAAATCGCTATTCGCTACTTTTAAAAATTGTTAACAACTTGATAGAATAGCATGATATTGAGATACGGTTTGCTTAAAATCGATACTCAATAGTCAATTTGCACTCCTGAGCACTGTAGTGATTACAAAAATGTTGCTTTGTGTTTACTGTTGCTACTCGTAAGTCTATTTGTTACAGATTACATTACAGTCTGAGTTAATAGTATAGATGCTCCAAATACAGTAAAACTAAAAAATATAGCGTAGGCGTAGCGAAATAGCGAAATAGTTCGCTGCATTTTTTAAGCAGTAGCTATAGTCAGTAGCGAACTACCTTTGTTCAAAAGTAGCAGTAGTTGTAGCTGACTACATATTTTTGAAGTAGCTGTAGTTATAGCGAACTACAAAAATTTTGTAGTCAACCCACCCTTGATTACATAATATAATACAAACTAGCATAACTAGAGACCTAAATAAAAAGTCTACTAAGATTTCTAGTAGGTCTCTAGCCCGCATTCTACAATTATTGTAAATATACTACACATAAATTTGTTGTACATGGGGAAAATTTTTAAAATAAAAAAATAAAAAGCGTTCGTTGGTAGGGATACAACTGCCTGAAAAGGAGAGATTCAAATTCGTGTTTTTCATGGATCCCCACCAACGAAAGCTTGTTTGTCTTCTCTGCTACCTACATTTGATGTTTGAGATGTGATGTTTGTTTTTTAGCGAGAAGCGTTGAGACTTTATCAAATCACAGATGACCCAGACAACTATTACCTCACAAAAACACTTGACCAATGTAAGTAAATATAGATATCAATATTACGGTCTGCTACTTCTTTGTTTTCAGCCATGTACCACGTAGGAACACGGAACTCTTGCTGTCTGCGTATTTACATTTTGCTTGTACGAGATGACCTTTCTAAGCCCTGGTCTGATAACACTAAAGAATGTTGTTTGTTTGTACAATATATGCAATTATTGTGCTTCTTGTTGTAACTATAGTATTTTCAAGAAACAGAAAGCTGTACTTTATGAACTTTTATCTTAAAGGCACAGTTCAGCCTTTTGAATGATGGTTTTTAAGGCGCATTACAAACCTTTTAATTAAAACAAACTAACTAGGAAAACCAATGAAGCATAATCCAAAATCAGTGAACTCGATGTTTTTAACAATAAAAATGTTTAAAAATGTTAAAAACATTGAAATCACTGATCTTCAATTATGCTTAATTGATTTTCCTAGTTAGTTTTTTGAACTTTTTTCAATTAAAGGGTTTGTAATGCGCCTTAAAAACCATCATTCAAAAGGCTGACCTTTGCCTTTAATGACTAAATACACATTGAGGACTGAGTTTGTACCATTGACGAACCAGGACGACTAAAATCGTGAATAATCTCACCCTGTACGCTTTCATTCTTTGCCACTTTCACGATAGACTACCGTCATTGTTGACTGAGAAAAACACGTCTCATAAAATGTACATTTAGAAGCCATCTTTGCATACTCGTGTATTTGTTCTTTGTAGCGAGTGAAAGAACATTAGATGCACATGAGATGCCGTTACAGTTTGGAAATCGTAATAAAAAGACGATGATATTTCTGAGAATAAAGGTAAGTTTAGTGATATTAAATATGAATTCTCACACTGGGTTGTCGTGTAGTTTATTAACATAAGTTTTTATACACGTCGTTAACATACTAGACCTAGTAACCCTAACCAATGTCTCGAACCCCTAAACTACCATCGAGGCGCATGCCCATATAGCACCTCGCCCTGGGCCCCCGATGCATCTGGAGGACAAATTAGCAATCTATGCATGATATAACTTTTGTAAACAAAGCAAATTTTGTAACTTTTTGTATCAAAATGTATCATAATTTTGTATTAAAATGGTTAATTTTTGCGCTGTATGTGGTTGTTGTACCCGAACAGATATTGTTAGGGAGCATCTGGAGGACACTCTAAGGATTTGTGACGTCAGTGCAATGGGTCTATAGAATTAATATTTGTGCTAGAGTTTAAAATATTCAATTCGTTTATTTAAATATTCAACTTTGCAGAATGCAGAGAAAAGTGGAAATATTCGTGTGTATTTAGCAATAGAGAGGTCAGTCTGTTTGTGTCTATATAATATAGTCTATTTAGCAATAGAGAGGTCAGTCTGATTGAGTCTATATAATATTGTCATTCATTATTAAATAATGCTCATTCCTAACAAGGAAGAAAATTTGTTCACCATTTCGCCACCAATCTATCAAATATTACATTTCTAGAGACGGCTCATCTTTTAAGACGATAAAAGTTCAATATGCCACGAATGTTGCTGACGTCATTAAGAACGCATTAATTAAATTTTGTTTAGAGGTAAGAAAGTTGAGTGGAGCTCGTTTTACCTTCACATGCATCTGCAAGGGACTTATGTTTAATTTTTGAAATAGGACAGAAGGCCTGAAGATTTTTCACTTGTTATGACACACTTGTTTGATGGAGGTACGTTATTCTCATTGTTCACTTTCTAAGCACACTTATTATTAGCATGACAAAATTACTGGATGCTGATTGGTTGAGAGGAGTACAATTATTTCATTAATTGCACTGCAGTACAATTAATGATTTTCCCAAAACAAAAACAAAATGGCGGAAAGGTATTTTAAACACAAAAGTGAAATGAAATTGCCCTAGAGGAACTAGATGAAAATACCAACAAAAACACCAAATTTTGCTTGAACAAAAGAACAAATTAAAATACAAACAAAAGCACCAAATTTTGGTTGAAAGTCTGGCAGGACTGGGCTTTGGCGAGAGAATATGATGTTGATATTGAGAAGTACGTAACCAATTTTGTCATGCTAATAATAAACTCGTGATGTTTGGAAATTTGCCAAATTAGACTCGCCCCGGTGGCTCGTCCAATTTTGGCAAAATTTCCAAACATCACTCGTACTTATTAATCCCTAATTGTACTCGCCATCGCATGATTACCTATACTAAACCACTGATTTTGTATTTTATTATTTAGTTCGAGAACGTGCTATGCAGACTGATGAATGCCCTTGGAAAATTTTAACGGAAATGAAGAGGGTATCTTATATTTTCATTTTTCCTTCGTCTTCCCGTCACTTGTTTCAGTGGGTGGAGTTTGAAAGCAGTTTCGTTTTCTTTCCATTCACAACTGCTACTTTATTTTCAGAGGTCAATTCGTGAGATGAAATTCCCGTCACTTGTTTCACTGGGCGGAGTTTGAAAGCAGTTTCATTTTGTTTCCATTCACAACTCGTACTTTATTTTCAGAGGTCAATTCGTGAGATGAAATTCCCGTAACTTGTTTCAGTGGGTGGAGTTTGAAAGCAGTTTCGTTTTCTTTCCATTCACAAGTGCTACTTTATTTTCAGAGGTCAATTCGTGAGATGAAATTCCCGTAACTTGTTTCACTGGGTGGAGTTTGAAAGCAGTTTCGTTTTCTTTCCATTCACAACTGCTACTTTATTTTCAGAGGTCAATTCGTGAGATGAAATTCCCGTAACTTGTTTCACTGGGTGGAATTTGAAAGCAGTTTCGTTTTCTTTTCATTCACAAGTGCTACTTTATTTTCAGAGGTCAATTCGTGAGATGAAATTCCCGTAACTTGTTTCAGTGGGTGGAGTTTGAAAGCAGTTTCGTTTTCTTTCCATTCACAACTGCTACTTTATTTTCAGAGGTCAATTCGTGAGATGAAATTCACCCGATTCTACCTACGCCCAATATACGAGCCTGCAAGCAATGTTATACTTTGTGTCAGCAATCTCCCAATGATGTTAAAGGAAGATACATATCACAGTTTCCTCAAGGAACATATACAACATGGTAAGGCACTCATTGCAAGGGCTTCTAGTCCTTTCAATTTGGTGAGGAACCCCCTCGAAATACAGGAGACAAGCAAGCTAACTCCACGTAGTAGCACATCAGCTCAGAGAAAGGTTCAGGTTTGATTTCCGTTATCTGTAAGGGACCATTAACCAATCAGATGCGTTTGGTATATTTGATTAACCAATCAGATGCGTTTGATATATTTGATTAACCAATCAGATGCGTTTGATATATTTGATTAACCAATCAGATGCGTTTGATATATTTGATTATCCAATCAGATGATAGTTAGGCAGTGCGAGGTACCACTGAACCTCTCGAAAACCTCGACCTACAGTCGTAGACGATAAGACGCGCTAACCAGCCTTGCTTTCATTGAAAATCAGCTCTAACTTACTTTCAATTCAATTTTTATTTCAGGCAATTTCGCAGTAGATGTCTTGTATCCATGTTCTGGTAAGTGCAGAAAGATTTTTCTAACACGAGTCTTCGTGCAATGATGTCTCATTATTTCTTCCTAGGTACGGCATTCTTATCATTTGAGACCGCTGACTTGGCATCAAAAGCGATGAATGAACTAAAAACTGCGACATTGAGTGGCAAGAGTTTGTTTGTTAAACTCATACCAAACATTCACGTATGTCTCTTTTGTCTTTAATTTACTGTATGCGATTACGATTAACACAAATGTGCTTTACATCAAGTAGTACGCTTACATACTGGCTAGACTAAGTACGATCCTCTAGTTGATCTTTACAACAGTGGACGACTTGCGCTTTAGAAAAAAATTTAATCTGGGAATAACAAAGGATATTTTCGGAAAGAAGTTATCAAAATTAGAAAAACTGCAAAGTTTGGTTGCGAAATGTTGTAAAATACGGAAAATATAGCCCTGCGAAGTTGGCAAATTTGTATACATTTCTATTACGTGCGGAAATTGGTAACTAATTTAGTTACCAATTCACGCACGTAATACAAGAGTATACAAATTTGCCAACTTTGAAGGCCTATATTTTCCGTATTTTACAACATTTCGCAACCAAACTTTGTAATATTACTAATTCCAAGACGCTCTTTCTAGCTGTGGTGATAGATTTCGTTGTTCTTACTTAGATTAAAATTTAGTCTAAAGCGCAAGTCGTCCATTGTGATATTACTTAACTGTGTTTATCCTAACCTCAGTTAAAAAAGCAAGTGGACGAATGTACATTATGAGAGTTTGCAAATACTATGGACTATCAATTAAACAATTAGATCTGCTGTTTGATAGCCTAATTATGTCGATATTCACTTTTGCTATTGAGCTGTGGGGTTGTGCATACGACGGTAAATATTTGAACCAAATAGATAAATTCATTAAACGTGCACATAAGAATGGTTATATATCAAAACGAACACACATTAAAGAAATACGTGATAAGAGAGATATGAAACTGTGGAACAAAATAACATCAACTGAGGACAATGCATTGCTTGAACTGCTGCCGGAAAAAAGAAGTAGGTTACTTAGGCCTAGAGGGCATGAGTATGAACTCCCCCTAGTGAGAACAGAAAGATTCAAAAGGTCGTTCATAAATCGTTGTCTGTATAACTTTGTTTAGACTTTAATCTATTTAGACTTTAATCTATTAAAAACTTTTTAAAACTTTTTACGCTTCTTAACTTACAATTGTAAATATAACTAGATCAATTACCTTTCGATTGTAAACTCAGACGGATGTATCTGAGTATTTTAATAAAGACTATTATTATTATTATTATTATTATTATTATTATAACCGAGCCTGTCTTTGTTTCTTCATTCTAGACTGAAGCGCTGAGTGACAAGAGCATTCCTCTGCTGGTGTTGGTGAATGTTCGCAGTGGAGGTGGTCAAGGCAATGAGTTGTTGTTTGATTTTCAGAAATTACTCAACCCTCATCAAGTGCATTCATTATCTGAGGGTGGTCCTTTGCCCGGGTAAGGACAAACATGCGCAATTGAGGGATGTAGTTTAATTTTCTTGCTCGCTGAATGATCTCTAGTGGAAGTTGACAGATATTTCTTTTAGTTTGTACGCATTTCGTAAACTCCAATCATTCCGTATCTTGGTTTGTGGAGGTGATGGTACAGTTGGTTGGGTGTTGTCATCCATTGATGAATGTTGTAAAGATCTGGCGTGTCGTGATCCTCCTGTCGCTATCCTACCTCTGGGAACAGGTTGGTATAACATGAAGTACACTGTACCTTACGCAGGGCAAAATTTTCTCCGGGTGGGTCAGGACGTAAATCGATCATATGTTGGGGGGGGGGGGGTGATCTCAGGTAAGCAATCTTGCATCACAAAATGGGCCTTGCTTTCGGGGTCCTTTTTATCTGTGGGCCCGGGACAAAGTGCCCCCCCCCCGGCGGCCCTACCTTAACGTATATATAGGATTGTGGTGACGTATACATTCTGTGTTGTTAGGTAATGATTTATCTCGTGTGTTACGTTGGGGTGCTGGCTACACAGGTAGTGAAGATACCTCAGCATTACTCATGTCTGTTGATCAAGCTGATGTAACATCTTTGGATAGGTAATTGTTACTGTATTGGCGAAAATTACAAATTTAGTTTCTCGTGCTTCTCAGGTCTTTGCCTAGTACTCCCGTTTCCCTCCTTCGTTGACACAATTCACCAGTCTGCTACAAGGAACTAACACTCTGTCGTTGATGTTTAGATGGTTGATAATCTTCGAGTCATCAGACACATCGGGTGAGACATTCACAGCTGGCGTGGACCTGCCCAACAGTTTTGTTATGAATAATTATTTTGGTATTGGGAGTGATGCAGCTGTAGCTTTGGACTTCCATAACGCGAGAGAGGAAGCACCAGAGAAATTCACCAGCAGGTAAAATCTGGTTAACCTTTTTTGATGGTGTGTGTAAAAGTCTTTCGTTCACGTGTAAGTACCGTGCTTCAACGAGACTGAAACTTGTGTTGAAGTCTTTGAAATCCCTTACAGGTAATTGCGTAAATTTAAGATCACTCCTGTAGGAATTTACTGTATCTTCTCTTGAAGGTTGCACAATAAAAGTGTTTACTTTCGAGTTGGTCTGAGAAATATGGTGAGGAAATCTATGGACTTTAATGAGAATGTTTCATTACAGGTGAGATGATTTCTTTCATATTTCGTCTTTTCCTTTTCCTTGCGAAGTTTTACAATGATCATTGTCACTTTAGATTGACGACACTGAAGTTGATCTGCCCACCATTGAAGGAATTATTGTTCTAAATATTGCCAGGTAGGAAATTTCACTTTGGAGATTCTTGCATCAATCTCAGATTCTCAGCATTGTTATTCATGACAACATTCTATCTTGCTGTAGTTGGGGAGCAGGCTGTGATCCCTGGGGACAATACAGTGATGACGTAAGTATGACGTCACGACGTAAATGACGTAGTAATGTGATGTTATGTTTCATTGATGACGTATGACATTGGTAAATGATGACGTCACTGATATGACGTCATCTGCACAATTGACTGATCTAGTATTTCCACTTTGTTTTAGAAATTTTCCACACCCTCGTCTTGTGATAATTTACTGGAGGTCATAGGAGTAACTGGAGTGATGCATATGGTACAGTATAAAAAACTTGATGAATGAAGATAAATTCTCAATTATTTTTGACAGTAGTAAGTAGTTGTAATTATTTTTCTGCAGGGGCAAATAAAGAGTGGGATTAGATCTGGTATAAGACTTGGTCAAGGTTCCAAGGTATGGCACAACTAAATATTCAATGAAGACCTCAAGAACTCATTCAAATCTCGGCAGTTCAGATACTTGTCGACTAGTTCCTTCGCGTTAAGTAAGATGTGTTTTGTTTATAGATCAACATGAGACTCAAGTCAGAACTTCCAGTTCAGGTCGATGGCGAGCCTTGGTATCAAGCTCCTGGAAACATCATTATCAGACCTACACTTAGCCAGGTCTCATTTTCTTTAAATCTGCATATAGTTTCGCGGCACTCACACGCACTAACAACTCTGTCTTGTTTTCACAGGTGAAAATGTTGACGAGACGTTCTAAAACGAGGTCAACTAAAACAGAAGAGCCCGCCAGAGCTCTCGTGAGTAGTACATTTTACAGTTTTGATGAGGGCGGAGCTCTCATCGGAAGTTCAAGAGACAAAGATACTGATAGCATGTAAGATATAGCAACGTATTCAAAGAGACATTGTGTGTACGATGTCTGAACTACATATAGAAGAATCTACCACAAAACAACACATTTTACAGTTTTAACGAGAGCTGTGCTCTCACAGAAGATCATGGTAGCGGCGATGTCTCAACTACATACACCAGTGAAGTATCTGCCACAATGGACACATTTTTCTTGAGTGGCGCGTTGATGTCTTTGTAGCTGATGACCAGAATGTGTTATTCACGAGTCCTGGGTGTGGTTGAACTATATCAACGCAAATGAAAGATCTCTGGAAGATCATAAAGCTTGTCCAAGCCATCTCAACATGATTCAACATTGTTGAATGCAGAAGTCTTGGCTCTGTTCCAACATTCTGAGTTTCTGACTTCTACTACTGCTATTATTACAGGACCATTTTAAATGCGTTTGATATATCCAATCATTATTATCTCGCTTGCTCAAGATCGTCCAGTATTGATTCCTAAAATGTTGGATTTTGGAGTGGCTTGAAGGATCTTAAGATGCATAGCTTGTACAGGAATGTTGTGATGGATCTGCGCTTGTCTTAACTATTATACATTAAATCCTGAGCTACAGGACTACAGGGGAAGAAAGGTAATGGATTGTACATGATGGGTCTGGACACACCATTGTCGCAGGAACGATTATCTGAATATAAAGAGTGTGCCACTGGGTATCTCTGGTTTGAGACCAACACTTTATTTTATAGTGTGAGCTACCATTTTAAGATGACAATGAACGGCATGACAAATGAAATATGTAGCATATAATTCCTAAATTACTATTTATTGTACACATATACCAAGTATAGTGAGTGTGTAAACTTATGTATAATTATGTAAATGTCAAGTTATACAAATTGCATTTGACTTCTTTGTGTGTCAACTGAAGGCGTAGAAGAGATCTAACACCTGGGTATCAAATTAATTCAATATGACAAAAAGTAAGCCAAGAATTTGTATGTTAATTTTGTTTAGTTAATGTATGATAATTTACACGTTAGAAGTCATTATAATAAGTGTTTCTAATGTTTCTTTTTCCTCAATTTCTTTTCAGATTTTTCAGACTTTATCCTCTCCTCAGCTGCAGACATTCTCTTATAGAGCATAATGAGCACACCAAGGATAATTGCTGGCCAGATGGCAAAGTTTATAACCTTTCCAATGTCATAACGACCGAGAGATGAGTCTTTCTCCAAGCCAGCTAGTTCTGTAACAAATGTCAATGTCGCATGTGCTGCAAGAAAATAATAATCAAGGTATGACTTGTATGTCAGTCTAGAAATGAACTACGGTACACTGTAAGCATTGGTATCTTGCTTCAACCTGATTTAGCTTATTAATTAAAGGTGACCTACAGTCCGATCTGTGCATGTGCACAAAGGAGACCACTTTTTATGATACAAACAGTTTAACTATGTTTTAGGTTTTTGCAAAGCATGATTGTTGTTTCTTGATCATTTATTATACTCTAAAAGCTTGAAAATATAAATAGTTGTCGAATAAATCTCAATTTTTTGGATGCAAAAATGTAAACAAAGGCTTTGTTTACATACAGACTGTAGGGCACCTTTAAAGGTGATCTACAGTCGGTATGTAAACAAAGCCTTTGTTTACATTTTTGTGTCCAAAATATTGAGCTTTATTCGACAGCTATTTATATTTTCAAGCTTCTAGAGTATAATAAATTATTAAGAAACAACAATCAGGCTTTTCAAGAACTCAAAACATAGTTAAACTGTTTGTATCATAAAAAGTGGGCTCATTTGTGCACATGCGCAGATCGGACTGTAGATCACCTTTAACCTATTGAGTGGCAGCAATCTCCCCATGATAAGTAAACTTGTCTGGCATTAGACAGAGTAAAATTATAATAAAGTAGGTGCATGATCACCATGACCGTGCCCAAATAAACACAAACAAAAACTTGACACAATGATTTCTGTTTGGTTTGCAGACCACATATTTTAAGAGATCATGATTCACTTTACTGAATAGCAGTTCATTTTAAGCTGCTGTCCAGATGTGACGCACAATCTCATTTTAAGGTCAACTGCAAGTGATCTATTCCTAGAAACGTTTCCTAGAAACTTACGTGGGATGACTCCTTGGACACCATTGGCTCCATATGCAAGATCTGGGGGAATAACAAGCTGCCGTTTCTCTCTGAAAGGAAAAATTTGTCATTCTTTATCCTGAAAACAGCCTTGGTGCGCTATCATTACACTGGCAACATACCCAACACACATTCCCAGAATCCCTTCATCCCAACCTAAAAATAGAACATAATTTAGTTGTATTTTAATTGGTTCATTAATAATCAACTAATTAACTTTAGAAATGGAATTATTACCTTTTATCACCCTGCCTACACCTAGCTGAAATTTGATTGGCTCTTCTTTGGATGCGTCAAATGTCTGACCATTTGCTAGTTTCCCCTGCCATAATAAAGATGTATTAACTTATTAACACACAATGGACCCTAATGTAGCATGTTATGCCATTCTAATAAGGCTTGTTTATCATGTGCCACGCCCAATTTCTCATTTTCTGAGCTCATTTACATTAAGTTCGGCACACAACAAAATATTATTAAAATGCCAGGATTAATCAGCCTGGCCAAGCTTGAGGCCCTATGTTGAATGAAAGCATCTGTAATTGATTACAAAAAATGAAAGCATACAATGTAATGAACAGCAACCATATCCCCATTATCAGCAGTTACTGAGCACTCTACAGGTTTGGACTAAAATAAAAATAAAATATAGCTCAACTTCATAAAGTAATAGGCACCTTTAAACCTGTGGTCACAATAACTTATTAATATTCAAATACAAGGTATTTTATAAACAAGGTTAATCTTCTGAAATTTAGACTGATACTGTATTAAGCTAAAATATACCAGAGGTATTATTTGCAGATTTTGTTTCTTCTTAGCAACGCAAAGACATGGAAAAAATAAGAAATAAAACTCGAGCTGTAATTTCATAGTTGCAAACTTTTGCAAATTGTAAACAAAGGCTAGGAGATAACAGGTGGAAATTATGGATAATAGTGGCTATGTTACTGGAAAATAATGCTGAGTTACCGGGTATCGAAGTTAATATACAAAAGTTTAAGTTCTGGAATATTTATTTGTTATATTTTAAACTTTTTGTAAAGCAATATTTTCGTTCTAATGCAGTTTTCGACTTTTCAGTCTTTGACGTTCAAAATTTTTAGCACTCCATCCCTCATTATCCCAAAATGACCATGACAAAATGGCGGTTGAAAGTGAATCATTTTCTCACTCTGAATTCATGGCTTTGGCTCTCAATACCGTCTCTGAGCTGGTCAAAGATCCTTTATTAAAAGACCTCCACAGTGAACCAAGTGTTGAAGAAGTGAATTCACAAATTGCACTTGAACATGGCCGCGCAATCACTGTCAATGTCGTGCAACAGAACCAAGAAAATACCGTTCTACGTGAGTTTTTCTTTGTTTGATAGACCGAAGCATGGCGTTCCAACGATCATTTTACTGTTGTTTTAAGGTTATTTGTACTTATGAACTGTTTTACTAAAAATGCTTTGAAAAAAATTCAAATTGCAGTATTTATAGTTTTGCAGGGGGGGGGGGGCAAGGGAGTCTGCATTTAATATCAGTTTATTGTCCAGACAAAAAGCAGTCGATCTGTATTAAACATACACGTAACATATCCTTTAAATTGTTTCTTCATTAAATTAACCCCCCCCCCCTAGTAGAAGCACCTATGGTTCAGGGTTTTGGCATTTTGGATATTTTCAGGGGGGGTGAATGCCTCTCATAAATGCACTGGCTAGGACCATGACAACAGCATTGCAACGGTTATGCCAAAGTCATTGGCAAAACCTTCTTGTATGTGTTCCTATTCTGTGTTTTTGTTCTGGGAGGTACAAAATGCATGTTGCAAGTTTTGGAATTCGCAGGTGGGGATTTTGTGCGGTTTTCAGCGATTTTTGCCAATTAGCCATTCCGAAGTTGATGAGTGGACTGGGGATGAGTGTTAAAAAGTGGCCAAATTAAGAAATGAACCAAATCACTAAAAAGACCATCTCAAAATTAGTAAGTATACAAAGTTTGAAGACGTTTACATGAATATCCTTCGAATAATAAGCTAATTTCGAAAATCCGATATTTACTATGAAATGTATTGCAATTTTTGTTTTTGGGACGGGCATCCCAAAAACAATCTTTTAATCAGTAATTTCATAATTTTCTGAAAGCTTATTATTCGAAGGGTATTCAATGTAAATGTCTTCAAACTTTGTATACTTTTGAGGTGGTCTTTTTAGTGATTTAGTTCATTTCCTAATTTGGGCACTTTTTATAACACTCGTCCCCAGTCCACTCATCAACTTTGGAATGGCTAATGGTCAATTAATAATATTTTGTTTCCATGGCATTGATAATATTGTAGGTATTTGTTCAGTAGTCGATGTTTATCTATTCCCAACCTGCAAACTCTCAAACTGCAGATTGTTTGCATCATGAGCAGGAGACGTACACAACACATTGTACTGCATAATGATCATATTATAAACTTAGATTGTAAACTGCTAGTTTGAATATTTTCTAGCTGTGGTTGTGCCTCAAAAAGCGAAAGTAAAAGACCTCAAGAAAGCGATTCAGCGACATTTGACATTGAAACAAATGAGAGAGGGAGGAACAACGTACATTAGTTGGTAAACATCTTTCTGTTCTGTGACATTTCTTCTACATTTGTTCTCTCAAAAAGGGCATTTGTCAGAATTTTTGAGACATTAATTTGAGTTTACCCTATCAGCTGGGGCAGTAGAGTGTACCCCTGGGGCAGCAGAGCGTACCCCTGGGGCAGCAGAGCATTCCCCTGGGGGTGAAAGTCACAGAAGCTTCACGATATTAGCCTTTACATTACAGTATGTGCCTTTAGAACAGTTCAAACTTGATTTGATTGTGTGTTGATTTTGTAGCCCTGAAAAAAGCCCCTACAAATCTCTGCCTTGATAACTCACTATTTAGCTTGGGTTTGACTGAATGTTTCTGAATCTAGGAAATATGTTTGGAGAACGCACTGGCTGGTTCATGATGGTGAAAAATTGACAGACAATGAGAAAACTATTAAAGAGTAAGAAATTAATCCAATGTATATATTTTAGATGGATGGTGGATAATCCAAGTGATTATATATATATACATATATATATATATATATATATATATATATATATTGAACTTGTGTATGTATATATGCTTGCTTGAATTATCCACCAAACCCAGCATTCAAGCTCAACAAACTGGAAAGCAAAAAATATCTTTCAAGATAGCCTTTTAACCCTTTAAGTGGCAATGCACCTTGATCATGCACTTCTGTCTAATGCTCATCAAGGGAGATTGCTGCCACTCAGTGTGTTAATATTGACTTGAGATCAATAGTTTAGACCAGAGGTTTAAGATTTTGATTATAACAATATTAAATAGAGATGATCTAGCTAGCAGATTACAAATTACTGAGGCGGATTATTTGAAGGCTGATTAGTGATTATACCAAATTTTTGGCCAACTAAAAATAAAACATGAAATAAAACTCATACAGCGAACATGTAAAACTCATATCAGTCTCAAAATGAAATCTCTATTTTTTAAATTCATATGCAGTTATGGTGTGAAGAATAAAGCTGTGATAACTTTTGGTAAAAGATTACGACGAAAGTAACATGGTAAGTAAGCTATCAATCACAAATTCTCACTTTGGAGGTCTTTTAATATTTCACCAAATAATGGCTTAGAAAAATATGTACACTATGAAACCTGTTCATTAATGCTTTTCACAGAGTTTAGTTGTACAGTTTAGCTTGGTTTAAATATAGTTTAGTGAACAAGCTTATTAACCCATTAAGCGCCAGCGCTCTTCCCTTGATGAGTAAAATCGTCTGGCGTTAGACAGAGTAAAATACTAAATTAGGCTGCATTGCTACTCAGTGGGTTAACTAGACACATGGGCAGATAGGCCAGTTAACCCATTAAGCACCAGCACTCTCCCCTTGACGAGTAAAATTGTCTGGCGTTAGACAGAGTAAAATACTAAAGTAGGCTGCATCAGGGTCACATCACCATTCAATGGGTTAAGCAAGTGACGTTTTTCTCAACATGGGAATTGCCCGAAAATTGGTCTAACCATAAATCTTGGTTTTGCATCACAGCACTCGTGCGAGGAAGTAAAAAACTTTAAAAATTTTATGTTTTGTCATATGTGTTGAAGATTACCACAAACTGACACAAACACAGTTTTTAATCCAAATCTCC